GTGTGTTTACTTAAATTTTTCATCACTTTTTCAAAATTTTCAATTGAATTTTCGCTAATATATGTTTAATTAGTAATGCATGTTATTTTTGTAGATTTATTTAATTTTTCATGTAGATTCTGAGTATTGAATTTGAATTTTGAAGTTAATATGTTTAATATTGCTTTATTTTTTGTTCACTGTTTATAATTTGTTAAAAATTTGTTATATATGTGTTGTTGTGTTTGTGCATCTATGTTTGATTAACATGCATATGTGCATTGTGTTTGTGCATCTGTGTTTGATTAACATGCATATGTGCATTGCTCATTGTGTTTGAGTAATAGACATATGTGTCATTTATATGCTTTGACAATGTTCACTTTATGATATTAAAAGGGTGACTTTATGCTGTTAAAAGGGTCACTGTATGTTGTTACATGAGTAACTTTTTCAGTTAAAAGGGTTACTTGTTGTGTTTAAAAGGGTCACTTTATGCTGTTAAAAGGGTCACTTTATGCATATAAAAGGGTCACTTTTTGCTGTTAAAAGGGTCACTTTATGCTGTTAAAAGGTCACTTTGTGCTGTTAAAAGGGTCACTTTGTGCTGTTAAAAGAGTCACTTTATGCATTTAAAAGGGTCATTTATGCACATTATTCTAAATTTTTCCATGAGTAATTTCTGAATTTGTAATTTTTTTTTATTTCTCTGTAATAATTAGATACAGGTGGTTCAATAGGTGGTTATCGTTATAAAATGCCTACAAAAGGAAAAGGAAAGCCTAAAGAGCCTGTTAAGGCTAAAGTAGTACCAAAAAAGACCCAGATAGTTCCTGAGAAGAGCAAAGCAGTACCTAAAAAGGCTGTGACAATTCCTGAGAAGGGCTTAATTATTTTAAGAATGACAAACCAGAGTCTAAGAAGGCCAAAATAGTTCCTAAGAAGGCCAAAATTGTACCTAAGAAAGCTAAAACAGTGGAAGATTCTGATTATGAAATGCTTTCTGATTCTGATTCTAAATCTTTTGTGTAAGTATACATAGTTTTTTTTTACATTTTTTACTTATATTTTGTTTTTAGTTTATATTGTTTCAGTTAAATTTTTTTTTATTTAGGGAGCAAAGAAGCTTGATTGCAAGGTGTAGACCCTATTCATTGGAAATTTTTTTGTAGAACTTTAGTCCTGAGCAAAAATAGGCTGTTGAAGAAATTGGTTTTGGAGGTTTATTACATCTGAAATTGAAAACTCTTAATCGTCAAATGCTACCTTGGCTTGTTGAAAACTTTAATGGTGGTAGCTGCATGTTTACCATCGCTACTGGTAAAGAATTTGTTATTACTAGAAATGATATATGCGATGTGTTTTGCTTGCCTTTGAGTGGTATTTGCGTTCCTGAACTTAATAAAAATTTTGAAGATGAAAGTGTACATAAACGTATCATTCAGGCATGGAGATCTGATTATGGTCTTTTTGGTAAGCAACCTCTTCATTTGTCAAAATTGGATTCTCGGATGGTTGATTTGGTTGATGGAGGGGAAGAATTTAAGAGGTGTTTTGTTCTTCAAGCTATGTCTAGCTTTTTAGCTCCTACTACTAATAGGAATATTTCATTGAAGTTGCTGAAAGCTGTTGAAAAAGTTGTTAAAATTAAAACTTTCGATTGGTGTTCATATGTTTTGAAAAAGTTAAAGAAGGTTGTTCAGAAGTATAAGGATGATGAAACTGCTCAAAATGTTAGTGGTTGTTTGCTGGCTTTGCAAATTATGTATTTTCATCGTCTAAATTTTCAAGGTGAAAAGGAAAGTAGTACTCTTCCTTTGATTCAAAATTGGACGGATGTAAAATATTAAGAAGTGGATTAAGTTTGGGATCAAAGCTGGTGGTTATGGGCAGGGACCATTGGATACTTTTACATATCCTGTGTCACAGCTTAATTTGAGAGAAACTGTTTTTAAGACAACTCCTACTTTGGGTTATGATAAGGGTGCTTCTACAAGTGGTACCACTGGCCGCATTGTTGCATTTGAGCTTCCAGAAGGTATTATGACTGATGAAGAAAGTTAAGAAATTTCAACTGATGTAAGTGTTCTATTTTCTTATGTGTTTAGTTATTATTTCTTTATGGCACAAAAGTTACCCTTTTTGTGTACAAAAGTTACCCTTTATTTGCACCAAAGTTACCTTTTATATGCATTAAAGTTATCCTAAATATTAAGTTAAAAGGGTTACTTTATGCATATAAAAGGGTAACTTTATGCATTTAAAAGGGTCACTTTATGCATTTAAAATGGTCACTTTAAGCATATATTTTGAATTTTTACTTATTTTATTATTTTTATTTGTAACATTTTTTTTTTCTTTGTTCATATGTTTGTAGGTTGTTCATGAAACGTTTATTTTGTTTAAAAGAAATATGGATGTTTTATTATTTGTTCAGTCAACTGGTTTTCAAACCTTGAATGATCTGATTACTTCTCGCAGAAGTGTTTCATTATCTTCTGATGATTCTGTTTCAGTTTCTCAAACTGAACAGCTATTCTATGATCCTCATTATCTGAAGATTTTAGATGGTTTAATTGATGAGTGTAATAAAATGAAGTTTGTGCATGATTTGTTTTGCGGTTTTTATGAACCTACAGAAGGTAACAAAGATGTTGTTCCTGAAAAAGAACCTGCACAAGGTTTCAATGAAAATATTCCTAAGGATGATGACAATGGTCATGGAAAAATAGTTAATGAAGGTCTTAATGGTTTTGGACCTTCTGCTATCATTCCTGGTCCTACTGAAAATATTCCTATTGGGCATATTTATCAAAATGAACCTGCTCGACGTATCATCAGAGCAAATAAATCTCTATGCTCTCTAGACTGTGGACCAGTAGGTGTGCAGGTGCCTTTAGTAACTCCGTTTTTGAAGAGCAATGCTTGGATTTTCAGGAATTTGCCTAAGTTACATTTGGAAATTCTCGATTATTGTTTGCTGAAGGATGTTTCAATGAATAGGAAGTTAAGTGTCTTTTTTATGATTATTATTTTTTTATCTGTTTTTTTCTTATATTTTTTTGTTTTAATGCTGATCTTATTTTTTATTGTTTCAGTGAGAGCCTTGTTACTTTTGGAATGAACTTTTTAATTCCAAGAGAAGACATGGTGTCCCTTGTTGCTCCACTCAGGATTCGATGGTGCATTATTGATTGCTACTGTCTGTATTTGAATGAGAAAGCATGTTTTGAGGCCACTGGTCCTCAAAAATTCTTCTTTGGTGTTAGGCAGAGTGTAAGTTATTTCATTCTTTATATATATATATATATATATATATATATTTTAACACATTTACTTTATATATATATTATTGAGATCTTATACTTTAATAATATGCATTCTTGCATGTTTGTGACAATATTGGCAAAGGTAACATTTCTAGTGCTGTTAAGGATTTGCACGATCTATGGGAAGGTTGGGTTAGCTATGAGAATCCAGAATGTGATATAACGGATGCTGATCTGGTATATTTATGCTAAACTTAATATCATAAATTTTAAAGAGTTATGTTTATGATATGCTCTGTCTAAATCTCTTTTAATTTTGCTGTTTCAAAACTATTTTCATGTTCTTATTGAGAATCACTACATTTTGTATGTTATTGATCATACAAAAGAGTTGGTATATTATCTTGACAACGTTATCTGGAGTGATTCTGCTCTTGTTTATACAAAAGAATTGTGTTCAAACATGGTATGTTTGATTTTATTTTTTGTTATATTTCTGTTGATTCATTGTTTCCATTTTAACTTTTTTGATTTTAATGTATTCTATACTTTTATATTTTATGCCAGTGTGTTCAAATGGGTGCTTTTCTTGGCAAAAGAAATCATCCAAAGAGTTCTCAGCTACCTTCTTATGGTTTTGAAGTTGTTGAGTTGGAATGGAGAAAAGAAAAGGTTGACAATTTGGACTGTGGGGTCTTTGTCATGTATCACATGCTCCATTTTGTTGGCGAATCGTTCAAATTAAATGAACTCAAAACAGTAATTATCTATATAGTTTATGTAGTTTTTTCCTTTCTAATGCTTTTATTAATTACATATTGATAATTTTTTTTCCTGTTGTGAGATTATTGGAAGGAAATTTTTACGAGGAGAGATATGTACCACACTGGTGCTGTGTGATTTGAATGAATCTAGGAATGATGTGTTGTCAAAATTACCCAAGTTCAACGAGAATAAGAAAGATCATGCTTATGTCAATGGAGTTGAAGAAAGATTAAAGGCTGCAATTGCTGAGAAGAAGAAGAGAGAAACAGAAGAAAGAAAAATGGCAGCAGAAGCAGCAGCAAAGGCAGAGGCAGAAGAGGAAAAGACCAAAGGAAAAAGGGAAAAAAAGCAGGCAAAAAAGTTTACTCCTTCTAAATAGTGAAATAATTGATAGTTTTTTTTTAACAATGAAAAAACTTAATGTATGTGCATACATTAAGTTCAATGATGTAATTAAACTTAGTGTAAAGTCTTTGGTTATTTTTTTGGAATACTGATGTATGTGCATACATAAAGTAATTAAAAGGTTTATTTTTATGTTTTTTATGGGATAACTTTTATGCAGAAAAGGGGTAACTTTTATTTATAGAAAGGGTTACTTTTAAGCAAGAAAAAGGTAGATTTTATTGTTAGAAAGGGTAACTTTAGCTATAAAAAGGGTCGCTTTTATGTAGAAAAAGGATCACTTCTATTCATGAAATGGTTCACTTTTATGTAAATGGTTTATTATGTGAAAAGGGTCACTTTTTTCTGTAAATTAAAAGGGTCACTTTTTTCGGTTAAAAGGGTCAATTTTTTCTTAAAAAAGGTTCTTTTTTTTTTGTTAAAAGGGTCACTCTTAATTTAAACGTTTAACTAAATAAAGATACGCTAATAATAGTGTCAATCACATATTCATTAAACTAGTCACATAGTAAAAAAAAATATATATATAGTTTTAGAATACAAAGTACATTAATTTTGAAAAAAAAATGATCTAAAAAGTTCCTAAAAGAGTCTCAAATTAGGTGTTTTAGATCCAAATTCTGAATGTGGAGGTGGCAGTGCTGGTTTTCTTTTTCTCTTGTTTTTTTCAAGACCTCCTTTTGCTCTCTTGCTTCTTCCTTTTGTTACAGCCCTTTGTGGATCAAGTATTGTTGGTACACTTATGCTTGTACTCGACGCCGAAGAAACATCATCATTGTTGTGATTGCTGTCTGCCACATCAGGAATATTAAAAGCAGCTTCTGCACTTTCTCTCTGGGCAGCACTAGCAAGTAAGTTTTCCACTTTTTAAGACTGTTTCTGAAACTTTCTTCCATAAATTCTCTTGTTTCTTCATTTTCTTGACTCTTTAAGATTAGATTGTAGTATTTCCTTATCATTGTTTGTCTCCATGGAATATATTGATGTGTAGGATCCTGATTCTTCAGTCTATCCCATGCCTCTGTTTTTGCAAACTTAGTCCATCTTTTTGAAACATACTTGTCTGGTATTCTTGTTACTGAATGCAAGTGTAGAATTCTGATGCAATGATAACATAACCATCAAGATGCTTCAAAATTTTTGCAAGTACACCATACATTCTGGCTCTCATGTATATAGTTTACTTGATGTGCAGACCATGGCTTGTCTTCCAGGGCTACCTGATAAAGTAGACATTCTTCATTTCTTCCTATCATTTGAACATTTGTTGCCATAGAATATCCAAACTCCTCTTCGAAATCTCAAAAGAGTGACAAAGTGAAAACCTGTTCACCAAAATCATTTAGCTACATTTAAACTGCTATAATTTATGTGTAATTTATGTACTTATCAGTTAAATTTTTACCTGTGTAGTATGTTTTAGCATTCCAGACAGTGGCAATGAAGTGAATGTTATTGACTTGCTACAGGTAAACTCATCATATTTCTCTGTGCTTCTCCAACGATTGATTGTTTTCTTAAATATGGTATAAAATTCTGTCAAGGTAGTTGCTTTACTTGCTCTGAATCCTATTGCATGATTAGTGCTTTCACTCCTTTGTGATGATAAGATTCCTGCTGAAAAGAAATCTCTACTAAGGGCAGGACACCATTTCTCTTTCAACTCGTACACTCTCTGGTACCAAGAGTGTGCTGCCAACTCATATTTCTGCATCATTGCTTGCCATTTTGCTTCAAATTCTTGTGTTATCACACACATCTTTAAACACTGGTTGAATGCATACTTGAATTCCTTGTCTTTTTTAAGAGCTCCAAATCTGGTTATAGCTTTTTGTTCCAAATGCCAGATACAAAGTCTATGCCTTGTATTAGGAAGCACCTACATTGAAAATAAAGGGGTCACTTTATGCTGTTAAAAGGGTCACTTTATGCTGTTAAAAGGGTAACTTTATGCAGTTAAAAGGGTAACTTTATGGGAAAAAGGAAAACATTATTGTCAGAGTTTAAAATCTGTAAAATGTAAATATAAATCTTTTACCTGCTCAATTGCATTTGCCATTGCTTGGTCCTGATAAGTGAATATTGAAGTTGGTGTTCTATTTTCCAGAGCTTTCAAGAATGTTTCTAGTAGCCGCACAAATGAATCTGTTTTTTCATCCCCAATAAAAGCACATGCAAACATACAATTATGCCAGTGATTATTTATTCCAACAAATGGAGCACATATAAGATTATATCTGTTGGTTTTGTATGTTGTATCAAAGACAAGCACATCTCCATATATCCTATAGTCTTCTAGCATCATTGAATCTCTCCAAAAGACATTGGAAATTCTTCCTTCCTTGTCAAACTTCACTCTAAAAAAGAAGTTTGGATCCTTTGATTGTTCCTGATTTAAAATGTTCACTAAAGTTTGAGCATCTCCAGCCTCAATTTGTTCCATTCTTAACCTTGAGCAAAAATTCAGGTGATCTACAACACTATGACCTATATTCTGTTCTCCTTCAGCCTCTGTAGCCATGTAATTGTAAGTGTCTATTGTAGTTAGACCTGAAGATTTCATTGTTTTTATTGCTTCAGCTTTTTCTTTTGTCATTTTTCTTTCAGAACGATGTAAATAATGTCACTGTGACCTTGTTAGCTCATGGTTATGCTGAATAACATGAGCCACTACCTCAAACTTTCCTTCTTTATTCACTTTTGCTCTTATGAATGCCTTGCAATTCGATCTTGTAATGGCTTACATTCACATCCTCTTCATTAACCATTTCAACTAACTATGTTTTCTTGTAACCTGCATTTCTCTTTCCTTCAGCAGAACACACATAATTTTTCTCAGTTACTATTTTTGTGTGTGTTTGGTATCTAGTTGTATGTTTTCGTATTGAAAACCCTAGTATAGCAGCATGTTTTTCATAAAATTCCAAAATTTCTTCAAAAGTTTCTCTTACCACACCAAAAAATGAACCTCTAAGATCTAAACCAGAAGCATGAATTGGATTTGTATCTGTGATTTAATACACATATATTAGATTATAATCAGAGGCAACATATCATTCAATTTAGAGGAAACAAAATGGTAACATTTGTTCGAAAATAAGGTAACTTTTATGCATGAAAAGGGTAACATTAAGGCATACAAAGGGTTACTTTTTGCATACAATCTGAATTTTCTGCATACAATCTTGGGTAACATTTGTGCATAAATAGGTTCACTTTTATGCATGAAAAGGGTAACTTTAAGGCATACAAAGGGTTACTTTTCTGCATACAATCTTAGGGTAACATTTGTGCATAAATAGGGTCACTTTTATGCATGAAAAGGGTAACTTTAAGGCATACAAAGGGTTACTTTTCTGCATACAATCTTAGGGTAACATTTGTGCATAAATAGGGTCACTTTTATGCATGAAAAGGGTAACTTTAAGGCATACAGAGGGTTACTTTTTGCATACAATCTGAAATGTTTATAGAAATTACCTTCAGTTGCATTTGATTTGGTTGTTTGTTCTGAATTTGAATCAATTGATTTGCCAGGAACCAATTGCTTCTTCTGCATTCTCAATTGCTTCTTCTGCAATCTCAATTGCTTCTTCTGCATTCTCAATTGCTTCTTCTGCATCGTCTCCATTGTTTGGATTGTTGAATATTGGTACGAGTTCATCTCTAAAACTCTTAGTTTCTTCTTCTTCTATAATCGATCAATTTAAATCGATTTCAAATTCAGTTTCAATTTGCCTCTGTTTTTGTAGCAATTCGTTGATGAGATTGCTACAATTTGTGGTATCGAAAGTCAAATTTTCCATTGATGATCGAATTCTCCAATTTTTGCGTTTTTTCACTTTCTCTCTTCTCAACTGATGATCGAATTCCGCAATTTGTAAGTTTTCTCACTTTCTCTACCTTAATTGATAATCGAAATTTTAATTTTTGCGTTTTTTCACCTTTTTTCTTCTCAATTGATGATCGATTTCTACAATTTTTGCGTTTTCTCACTTTCTCTCTCCTCAGTTGATGATCAAGGGTTGCGTTTTCTCACTTTCTCTCTCCTCCATTGTTGTTCTGCGTTTTTTTGATTTTGAGGTATTAAATTTCGCGATTTTGCTTTTTTTTTTTTTTAAAAAAAAAAAAAAAAAAAAAAAAAACTAGTAAATGAGTGGCACGTGCAAACAGTCCGATGTACAGTAAAAATACTGTACACCGGGTGCATGCAAAATGGATTGTACAGGATATTATAAAATAATGTTCATAAATATTTGTTAAAAAAAGGAAAGTAAAAGTGGCGGGAATTTTTTTAATCAAAGTCTGCCACAAGTGTCATATCAGATTCGCCTTTAGTATAATGTAATTGATACTTGTATATTGAACACAACCAAAACAAAGTAGTAAATTAATTGAATCTATAACACTAATTACCAAAAGTATGTTTTAGAAGGGTTTACTGTTTGACAAACATAAACCCAATATCTTGATTTTGGGTTAGATAGAAAAGAAAACTGACTAAATGATTATCTGATTCTCCATCTATCTCATGATTTCAAAGTTTCAACTGTTGCTCTCATTAACATATCTAATGTGAAACGCTACTAGAATGCTAGATGAAAGAACAAGTTAAAAATTGGCATGTTCAAACTAGAATACTAGATCATTTAAGTTTGAGGTTAAGAAATGTAACAAAATAAACTTCATAGTTGCATTATAAAAACCGGCATTTACATGTATACGACAACACATAATTCTCATACTATTATTATAGTACTCAGAATACTCTAAATATTAAATAACATTTATCTTTTACATAATTCTCATACTATTATTATAGTACTCAGAATACTCTAAAATATTAAATAACATTTATCTTTTACATAAGTTATTACAGATGATTTATCTCTGAAATAGCTTCTGGAGGGAGTCGCACTTCACAAACCACTGTACACGCTTTATAGGGGTAATATAAACACCAAAGTGAAGGCGTGCTACATAGCCTGCCTATTGCTTCAATCAGAGAAACGAAACTTCTAGAATCTTTGCCCTTTGCATTCAGTTTCTCACTTGTTTCACTGCATTCATGTTGCAGTGAAATGCACACGAGCATTTGTTGTTAGGAGGAACATCTCACTCTTTCAAAATCTAAAACACTCTCCATCCCCGTCAAAAGGTCAGACATATAAATCATAACCTTGAACGCCGTATGCATTTCATGGGATTAAAATGCATGGAATGTCTTCTTGTTGGAAATGGTGAATGACGTAAAGAGCATAAAGGACCTACATCCCATTCTTCTACGTTCTTTGGGACACACACATCAAAGAGAATTTGGCCAAGAACCCCATTAGCATTGATCCTTGGTGGGCTGGGTAGGCGAACAAGGCTTGGCTTCTCATTTTGGACAGATCCAACAGCTCCACCCCCATGATACTCAAATGAGCTTTTGGGCACAACGGCCTGTTCTGCCATCTCAATTGAGAATTTCTTATAAATGTCACTTGAGCTGGCTGCGGCAGTCCTTAGGTCCCTAAATGGTTTAGAAATCTCATCACATGTACCCTCAAAACCCAACGTCCCTCCTTCAAGCCTCTGTATCCTTTGTGACTGGATGGCTGAAGCCTTTCTCAATAACTCAGTCACAGCACCCTTGTAATCAATTGAATGCTGTCGATAGTGACCTGCAATCATGGAATTAAAGCAAAGCTTTAGCCACTATACCTCTGTTCATCATGTTTTACAATCAGTTGTGTCCAGAAAAAGGATATTGCAGTTATTTATGGCAAGGACAGATGAGATCCATAAATTACACACAGGTCCTTTACTATATGCGTTTCACATTCAAGTATATGCAAGTGCATAAATGGATTAACGTTCAGCATGTCATGCTTCTAATGCAAATGACTCATAGTACATCAATCCTAGAAGCATACACTTTGTGTTATGACAATGCAATTGCAGCAGCTGTAAACAGAACACTAGACAAATCAAATTTGCATTTGTACTCCCAGCCAATCCAGTTAGCCCTAGTCAACTAACAGAACAAACCTTCCCATTGTGCCTATTTAAAGCAGAAGTAATCTCCTGCAATACACTTAGCAACTTCTCTTGTGAGAGAGAAGAGTACATTTGATTGGAATAGTAGATAATTAAATTACTGAATGAAAAAGTAGATGTGATAGAAGATACGGAATAGCAGATAATACTATATCATGCAATAAGAGAAAGTTAGGGTAAAATAAGACTGGTCATCACATGTCTGAATGTGGTGCAATGTCTAAAATAAGAGAGCGTAATATAATGTGGGATTCCTCAACAAAGAAAACATGCAATATTGTGGGACAGAGGGAGTATTTCTTATGTCTTTATGAGAATATAGATTAAAAGATGTATCATGATAGAATTAAAAGGGATATAAAATAATGGGCTAAAGTGGCATGGGTCCACCTTGGTCCTGCATGAGTTAGCAAAAGCTTCATGCCATGCAAAAAATTCTTGCTTCATCAGTGTTTCATGTAGAGACCAGAGAAGTGATGTAAAAAGTTTAATGGGCAAAGATGTAAAATTATAAGGAAGCCTTGCAATTCACACGTATTTTGCTGTTTATGAAATGCTTGGGAGGAGAATGAAGAGCTCCAATAAAAATCATTGTGCTGCTAGAAGAGATTGTAAGCATGTAACAAATTTTGAAAATGCTGGCTGGCCCAGCCCACAAACTAGCCACTAGGACTAAAAATTTTGGGGCCGATCAAAAGTATAAAAACCAATGAATGATAAGAGACCAAGATCACTATTCCTTTCCATAACCATGAGCAATTGTTCAAAAAGATTATATACTCAGTTAGAAACAGACCTACATGGGGCGAACTGGTCCATTTCACTAATTTAACATCACCACCAAGTTCCTGCAACCGATGTGCAAAATTGCAGATTGTTTCACAGGGAGCAAGATCATCATCTTCGGAGCACATTATGAGATATGGTGCTCCCATGCTCTGCATCAAAATCAAACGTTATTTAAAGATTTTTTTAAAAAAAGAAAAGTAAATTAACAGCAGAAAATAGATGATACATACAATTGAAGAGTATAGAGTCTGCCAATACTCAGCCCGTTGTGATTCAAACCTACTAAGGAAAAGGCCATCTAAACCAGAGGCGATTCCATTTGCTAACCATGACACAAATCGTGGTGGGTTTGATATTTTTAGCACTGATGGGTGAAGAACAAAACGCGTACCCAAGTCACTGGTAAAATCCACAGGACTGGAGTCATAAATGTGGCCGGCAACGTAATCTCTGACCGCTTGATAATTAATCTTCAATGAAAGGAAGTAAAATATGCATTGGTCATAAGCATAACTTGCATCTGATAGTTACATGAATGAAAAACTTAAATAAGGCTAAAATAAACATCTACAAAATTAAAATTTTAAGAGTTGTGTTTAAGTAGTGCAGAGAGAAAAAATATACCTGATTGTCATGTTGGTCACATTTGCCCTCAATTATCTGCAAAAAGTAAAGATAATTCCTTAGGTTGACACGGTTAAAACCTAGAAGAATCCTAACATGAGTAAAGTAGGGAAACAATTGCAGAAAACAGTTTAGGAGGGGTTATGGGAAGGATTTCATTTCTCACACTAAGTAGGAGCTTTTTTCAAAAATATTTTCCTTATCCAAAAGCACTGTGTCAAACTTCCATGTCCAAAAATCAGTTGCATGGTTCAAGAACATGTGACCCCTTACTGCTCTCATAACATGCAAAATTTTTGGACACTCCAAGACTATGTTACAAAATCTAATTTACGTGTTAGGTTAAGTATTTGCCCAAGCTCATTGAAGATCAAAATCGAGAAAAAAGCCCAGAAGAACAATAGTTGAAAATCACACAATATCAAACCCTAGCCAATCAACCAGCACAAAAGAGAGGAGAGAGAACAAAGACAATTGCTGCACAGAGTGAGAAAGAGAAACATTGAGACACTCCGCCAGACAAGATCACTGGAGCTACCACCACATGCCTAAACATATAGTTTTTCATGGTAAATTTCACCATAAAGTTATAGATCAAGGAGATTTCTTACCACCAAAGCTCAAACATTATGATTCTTCATATGGTAGAAGCAGATTTCCTCACCAACTAACAGATACTCTCTCTGTTTCTTTTTACTTGACATCTTTCTTTAGTCATGTTTCTCCTCTTATCCTTCTATCTTAATTTTCAAAGTATCTATTGATTCTATTCTATAACACAAAGTTTGAGATATACAACATGGATACTCTACCATATCTCTCTCTCAATCCCTTAAATCAGTAACCAATTCCATGAGCAAGATGAGATGTCTGACATGGAAATCATAGCCGGGTCTGGATTATATTGTTTCAAGGTATGCAAACACAGGAATGATCAGTGTCTGGAAAACATAACCCTAGCCTCTAGGCAATGTACATTAGCATTTAGTTCCATACTCAATTCCTGAACCAAAAAACTATACTATCTTCAGATATATAGCAGATAGTTATTTAATATCTACAATTCACCAGTGTTTGCTCCTCCCTTCCTTTTCTCCAAGCTTCACACCATTTCCCCCCACACCTTCCCCCCTCCCTCCCCCCTTACTCAACCTTATAGACTACAGTTTAGACCAAAAGTTAAGCCATATCATGTCTTCCAACAATAGGACAAATCATGGGAGTACAAAGTTAAGCCATATCTTTTTCTTCTTCTTCTTTCACATCAGAAAGAGCCTTTTTTGCTTCTGTGATCAGATCAGCCAAAGCAAGAAGAATCATTGTTGGAGTTGGAGGAATACGCGATGCTAGAATGGCTATTTCTTCAAGGGCTAGCTTCTTCTGAGATATCAAGATCCCAGATTCAGAGTGATCAACTTCTAACCCAAACTTCAGTTTACCTAAATCCTTCATCTTCAAGTTTTTGGACAAAAGGGTTTTCAGGTTCTCAATCTCTCTTGCCTTATACTGCTCATGAACCAACATGAGAACTTCTCAGGAGTACGACTCTCAATCATTGTGGCTCATGTCAAGCGATGTGACAGAGTTTAACACTGGCTGTCACTGGCCTATTGTAACCCTCCTCCTTTATCTAGGCTTGGGACTGGCAGCAGGATACCCACTGGCGGCAATATCGTAAGACATTTCATCAGCATTCTGGCTTTACCAAAACTCGATATCCATACAAACTATTGCATAAGAAAAACACTTATGCTGTAGATAATGTGTTTGAGCGGGCACAATCCCAAACAGCTATAGATATGACTACAACATCAAGCTAAATCAAGAATTCAGAAAACTGGAATAAGCACTTTGATGCCCCTGTAAAATAGTTATGAGGTTATATGAAAACAGTTACTAGAGATGATGCATGAAATGGGATGATTGGGCGAAGTAAATCAACTACTTCCTCCGTTTCTTTTTAGTTGACACGTTTCTTTAGTCACGTTTGCCAATGCACAACTTCAACTTTTAATATCTTTAATTACCGATTATAAAAAATTAGAAAAAGTTGATATTTTAAAAATATATATTTTGACGAATCTAACAAGACCCACATGACTATATTTTTCATTATGTATAAATCACAAAACACGGTCCAAAGGGGAGTTTGAATAGTGCTAAAGTCAAAACGTGTCAACTAATAAAAATCGGACATAGTATAAAATTGGAACAGTCCATTACAGTCTAACTGCAAGCAATCTTCCCCATAAGACTCTTGATAACAAACTTATACAGAAATATTGATCAGGTATATCTCTCTCTTAGTAGATAGAGAGGGACTACATCTCCAGTTTGATATGTATCTCATAATTTTAAAAAAAATAAATTATAATAATAATAAAAAAAATAATATTAATAATAATAATAATTAAAAAACAAATAAAAACCTTTGTAGCTACTCTCTTGTTAAAAAAAATTATGGGCTTTTCCTGAGCCATGAGCCATTGATTTAAGCCCCTGTCCCAACCAGGGTAAAAAAATAATAAAAAATAAAATAAAATAAAATCATGGAAATTAACTGGAAAAAACAGAGTCAGATTTCATAGTTCGGACATCTTAATTCAATTTTTAAACTACTGTGCCTACAATTTGTAGTGTGTATAGATCATGGGCCTCTGACAAAACACTAGAAGAAATTCCTACAGAAACCCACTTCCCAATCCTTGCATTACTTGTAGTAAGCAAAGTAAAAAAAAAAACAAGGTACATAAAGTAAAGGTTGCTCAAATGCTTATAACTTAACTGTAGAAGAACAATCTATAGACTAACACTAACACTTCATCACCCTTTTGCTGACGCCCTTTATCTACAGCTTATCAGGGAAATGATTGCAAGTCAACCAATAATACTACTCAGAACTCCTATAATCACATAGTTAAGCCCTGGTAACTTTAACTCCTTTGTGAGGGGCACCTCTTTATTCATTTAACAGGAAAAACTTGACATTGTATGGAATATATTTTCTGAAGTTATGTTCACTATCCTAGAATATTATTCCAAATATACAGAGAAATGTTTAAGAAAAAAGTTCAGAGTACAGTGATCATTTTGACTTTAAAGCAGCTTGTTCCCATATATGAAAAAGAAGTATTCCAAAACAGAATACCTGCAGAACTTTATACATGCAAGCCTTTGGGCCGCCGGAAAAGGAAGCAAAGACAACAGGGCGCGGACTTTTCTTCAAGTCCTACATAACAACACAGCAATCTGTCAGTATAATATGCAAATTCCATATAATATTAATCTTCAAAAAAAAAAAAAGCACGAGGGTATTAAGTTTATACGAGTAAAGCATAAATACGATCCTTGAACTTTTGTATTTGTGCACTTTTAGTCCCTCAACTTTCATTTGTGCACTTTTGGTCCCTCAACCACCACTCTTGGTGTTTCTGACCAAAAACTTGAGGGACTTATCCTAGTCCCTAAAAGTTTAGAGACCATGAGTCATTAATTTTTTATTTTTCTCTTTTTTTTTTTAAGAATTTTAATTTCAAAGGAATCTTTCTAACTGATGTGGCAAATGGTATGATGAGAAATAGTTTAGGGCTTAATCTCTTTCATGACTATCACTCTCCCTCCCCCTCATCTCTAATTCCCCACCCTCAATTTTCTCTCTCCTCCCTTCTTCCATGACTTACGGTGGAAAACCATCCAACCCAAAGCCTAAAAAGACCATTTCAGAAACACAAATGACACACAATAGGACAAATCAATAATTTGATACGTTGATCTCAAAACCAAAAAAAAAAAAAAAAAAAAAATACCTCAATCCCAAAAACACCTCATATGGCTAATCCACCTTTGGTGGCGATTACCACCATCCACCTCCTATCACCACCATTAAAACCACTACTCACCACCCCACCAAAATTACCAAACCACCCTTCCACCTTAAATGCAAAATCAATCAAAACCCAGAAAATTGACAAATTTAGGAGAGAGAAAATTGGATCATTGTAGAATTAAAAGGACTTCCGAATCTGGGATAAAAATTGCTTCGGTTGATGAAACTTTTAGGGTTGTAATGACGATGGTTGTAATGTAAAGAGAGGCTTCAACGGCAGAGAATCGGATGTGGCGACGGAGGTGGTGGTGGAGAAAGAGGTTGAGTGGCGAAAGGAAGAGATGTTCTTCCTTACATTTGTTTTTCTAATTAGAAAAATTATGGAAGAATAAGCAATTTTTTTGGGTTTAATATATGATTTATTGGTATTTTTAATTTATTGGGTTTTCTTATTGAATTAGAAGAACAGGGAATAAGAATAAGGAATGAATTGAATTAATTGTTTTTTTCCTTTTTTTTAAAAAAAAAAAAATAGTTTTTAATTTTGAAGAAAAAAACTTTTTATAATTTTTTTAATTAATGTTGACTAAAAAAAAATGACTCATGGTCCCTAAACTTTTGCTGACTAGGCTAAGTCCCTCAACTTTTTGGTCAGAAACACCAAAAGTGGTGGTTGAGGGACCAAAAATGCACAAATGAAAGTTGAGGGACTAAAAGTGCACAAATACAAAAGTTTAGGGACCGTATTTATGCTTTACTCAAGTTTATACCACGAATCCATCACATGGAGACAGTCATGTTTTATAAAAAGGTGTTGCCTTTCTACACTACAAGTATTTATACACATATGCATGCATAAAATTTCATTTGCAAAGCCACATATAAAAACTACATAATCTTAAAAATATTTTCAATCAATGTTACATACATGTATAATGATTAGATTTAACATAATTAACACGTTTGCTAAGAAGGAGGTTAAAACAAACTATGCACACACACACAAACACGCGTATGCATGCTCGCGCTCTCACACAAACAAGAGGATGTTTAATTTGGGTATCCTAATTTACTAGTCCCATTTCTTTTTAAGGAATTACTTCTCTTTACTTTTTCTCTTATTTTAGTCCCCCAATTTCTTCTTATTTACTTGCGCAGAATTATATGCAAATGGCTAAGGGGCAAGTAAATAAGGACAAAGGAAGTAATTAGTCTCTACTATCAACTTTAAACTTATAAGTTATAACTATGAATATCTTAAACAACCCATTGTTAAAAAGTAATAAAATCAGAAAAACATACATAATCACATAGAATAGAATCAAGCATAAATACACAATATAATATGTACCCCTTTCGTTGTGCATAAGTGCTCCTATTTTTTGCTAGGGTTTTCCCTCTAGGTTTCTCCTTGGGAGGGTGTTTTTTTCCTAGTTTTTTTGCTAGGGTTTTTCCCGTTTTTTTAGGGTTTTCCTTCAATCTTCTTCCTTCTCCCTTTTTCCTCCTTCATCCTTCTCTCCTTGATCTCCATTGTAATTATTGGTAGGGGCTACCACTGGTTCCTTGATGAGGGGCAAGCCCCAAAATCCCTTTTTAATCGCTTATAATAATAAATCTCATCCTTACAACGGTCTTGATCGGTGTAGATGAATTCTCTTTTGTCACCGGAAGTTCTAATTTTATGGTGGTGGTTCGTGCGGTATTGAATCAGTTGTCAGATCAACGACTACAATTCATTGAATCAAATTTTTTTCAATTCCAAACTATCAAAAATCGCAAGGTCCCCTCGTAGAAGAAGGGGGCAGAGGACAACGATTCAACAGACGAGGGTATTCATCAATGACAAATCTCACTCGCGATCATAATTTATAGAATTAGAACTGTTATTTGATTCAATTTTCATTGTATTTATCGTTTTTGATCTCTTTTGTATATGTCGTATGGATTCTATGAGGGGTTCTTTTTACTAACCAAAAAAAAACCATTATTGGTAAAAAGAAAGTATTACAAAGCAGCTTAGAAGACTTGTACTCTGTTTATTCTTAAGTATTTGTCTCCTTTCTTTTTTTGCACATTCTTCAATATTTTAGCATCGATATCTTGAACCAAGCATTATAAAAATTATTAAAAATTGATATTTTGAAACTACACATTGAGACAAATCTAGGAAGATCCCAAATGAATATGTACATTTTCTTATACTGATAAAAAAAAATTCTCAAAGCTAAAGTTACTCTCTCCTAATGTCTCAATGTGTATATGTACTCAAATGTTTCATTATAATATCTCAAAGATAATTTGAAGTAAAAAAAAAAAAAAGTTCAGATAATATACTGCTCACTACCTCGTCATGTAGGTTTTATTAATAACCAAATTTAACACGAGTAAGGGTACAGTAAAGTTCAAAAATTAGATATCAAGTCCTCAAAATTTAGCTTATATAACAGAGAGCAGCACACATTCTCCTCAAATAACCAGTATAGTTAGTACTGAATTACTAACCTTTATAAGTTCGTCCAGAATGTCTACAGCCAACAAGGTTGCCTTCTCAGGGAAGAATCTGCAGAACAGCAAGTGAACTACATGAAGCCACTACAGGTTTAGGATAAGTAATCACCAATAGCATTCAATAAACAAAAAGTTGCATAGCAGGATGTTGACAAAAACACAGAAACTTGTTACTCACAGCAAATTTCTACTCCCCCTCCGTTTCTTTTTGTTTTTTACGCTTTGACCATTTTTCTCTCACAAAAAGATTTCAAATGTAAAAACAAAAAGAAATGGAGGGAGTATGATAAAAGCATTACATCTTTTTGAGATCTTCTTTCAAGACACTAACAAAAAGAGATTATACGGGATACGTCAGCTCATGGTCAGAAGGAAACTCTTTGGTCTTTACCCTTCTTCTCACCATTGTAAAATGTAGAGGAGTTGTCCAACAAAATTAGCTATCAGGATAAGATAATTAAATGATATATGCATGCACACCTCTATAAACTTATCATTTGATCATATCTCAGCACATGTTTTGTTCATCAATATTAGAGATTTTGGCACTACTATATATTGTTCATGTTACTTATTACGAAGAAAAAGTATCAAGTGAAGCAAATGTACGGATAACTAAACTTCTCCTTAACATAATAATGCAGTCAATGTCCATTTAATTAACAATAAAAGCATTAAACTTCAAAAAGTTTAATATGAAATTATGAATATGAGTCCATAGCTCAGACAGATCTCTAATAGTTCAGTGTACCCTTACAGCAACACCACAATACAAGTGACATAGGAGTATGAATAAACAAATCGCAAGTTATGCGATAAGGTAAACATAGACCACACACAATATATACCACCATGACAGAGGAATTTATTGGGGATCAATAAAACTTATATTAAACAAACTGCAAGGAGTGCACATTCCTTGGTTTTTCAGATGTTGACATGAAGCTAAATCACCAAATGCCCTCTACTGATTGCAAATAATAATGAAAAATGTGTAGCTCCTTTGAAAACAAAATATAAATTAGAATCAAAGGTATACAAACAATACTATTCAAGCCAAAATTACACTCCACATCAAATGAACCATTAGAAATATCGGTTCATGACGAGACGAGTATAACTGCTTAGACATGCCGACCGAAGGTTCTAGTCTGGTGATTATAAGCTACTCAACCTAAAACTGCTATTACAACCATTCCAAATTAGACCAGGAACATCAATTCACTCACAATTATCAAAAGAAACATAAAAGAATAACCCAATTTTCCAAAACAAATGAACAATTCAGTATATGAACAACATAATTCCACATCCCACCTACAATTACTCAATTAATCAATGAACACCCCAATAAAAATAATTAAATTAACTAACAAAAAATCCAAAGTCAAAGCTAAAATATTACAAACTTCAGCTACATAATTCAACAAGCTACAACCAAAAAAACCAATTATCTTTAAGAAAAAAAGCAAAATTGGGTGAAATTGAGCTTACGAATTGAGGAATTGAGAGTGACAAATAAGAGAATCCCAACCCAAAGAAGCGTAAAGATCGATGTAATGCTTCAAATGTCTCTCTTCACTAGACATCCAAGCAAATACAACTACAATTCCATCACTTTTTCTTCCAATCTCTCTCCTCCCCCAATAATACCTTCCTCCAAAACCCCACATCTTTATTTCTTTTTTTCTTGATAATTGCAAAAAAATAAACAAATTTTGCAATATTTAAAATACCCAGATGAAATTTTCAAAAGTTTGATCAAGATTGCTTAAAACCCAATTGAATTTTGCCCATATTTTAATGGAAAATTCTGGTTTGACGGGGAAGTACAGCAACTTTGGGAAGCTCTTTCTCTCACACACATACACTTTGGATTTTCTCTTCTTTTTTTTTATTATTATTTTTTATTTTTTATATATATTTGGGTGTTTCGTGTTTGCAGTTTATGTTTTGGCCAGTTTTGGGTTGTTTTGATATTATCGGGATTAAGAAGAATTTAAGATTACAAATGAAAGCCAGAAATGTAAAATCCAAGAAATTTACTTATTAAAATAAATCATGACGTTTTAGAATTTAGAAGAACATTTGTTTCGCTGTTGCCTGAATTGGTGATGTGAGGTCTTGATCACTGTGCCACATCTTTGACATGTAATTAACTTTAGTATTTCGGCTATTTCAACAAATGTTATTTAACAAATTCATAATAATTCACCATATGTCATTAAGGTTTTTAAAATTCACCAAATGTCATCGAGCTTTAAAAAAAATTCACCAAGTGTTATTAATGACTAATAATTGTTAACTCCGTTAGTTATTAGGGTTTAATCATAACACATGTCATGATATGATTGCTTCATTTTAATTATTTATTTTAATTAATAAAAATAAACGATTTCTCGATTGTCTTGACAAAGATTGTTCGAGTAAAGTTTTGGAGGTTATTTTGACCCTTAAGACTTCAAATTAAGCTTGACAAAAAAAAAAAAAAAAAAAAAAAAAAAAAAAAAAGAGTAAATGTCCTATTTTGTGTGTTAACATCGTAATTTTTTTACCGAAAAAAATTGCAAAATGGGTCATTTACGCTATTTTTTTTTCCAATTCCAAGCTTAATTTGAATCCATAAAAGGGTAAAAATAACCTTCAAAATCTTACCCGATCAATTTCCATGATTAAAAAAAATGACTCGTTAATCGAGATATTTTTCGACACACTAAGGGCTTGTTCATATTTACTGAACTGAACTGAACTGATTGGAGCTGAACTGAACTGAATTGAGCTGAAATTAATATTTTATGAGAGAGGGAAATTAGGAGATAAACTGAACTGAACTGAACTGATTGGAGCTGAACTGAACTGATTAGAGCTGAACTGAACTGAACTGAAATTAAGTAAATGTGAACATGCCCTAAACGGTACATTTTTTTGTGCCAAATTTTAAGCTTAATTTGAATCCATAAAAGGGGTCAAAAGAACCTCCAAAACCTTACCCTATCAATTTCCATGGTTAAAAAAATGACTCGTTAATCGAAATATTTTTTGACACACAAAACGGGGCATTTACGTTGTTTTTTTTCAATTTTGAGCTTAATTTGATCCATAAAGAATCAAACTAACCCCCAAAACTTTACCCAAATTATTTTCGTCACGAAAATCGAGAAAAAAATGTTATTTTTTATTAATTTAAATAAATAATTAAAATGATTCAATCATATCGTAACATGTATCGTGTTTAAACCCTAATGACTAAAGAAGTTAACGGTCGTTAGTCATTAATGACACTTGGTGAATTTTCTTAAAAACTCGGTGGTATTTAGTGAATTTTAAAAATTTTGATGGCATTTGGTGAATTATTAAAGTGCTCAGTGGCATTTGGTGAATTATTTTAATACCTCCGGATATTTTAAGTACATGCCAATATCTTTTAGAAACCACTATTATAAACATAAAAAGTACTTTAAAAAAAAATTCGCATAAAACCACCTTTTAAATCTTGTTTTTTGCATATAACCAGTTTTGTAAAAAATGTTGCAAAAGACCATCAATATTAAAAAATTTGTTGCAACTTACCACTTTTTTAGCCAAATTCATCAACTGTTCTACATTAAACTAGTGGTAAGTTGCAACAAAATTATTAAAATTGGTGTTCTTTTGCAACATTTTTTTTAAAAGGTGGTTATATGAAAAAATAATAATAATAATAATTAAAAGGTGGTTTTATGCAAAAAAAAAAAAAAAAAAAAAAAAAAAAAAAAAAAGCTCTCCTCCTTCTTTTCTCCAAAACCGTAGCCTCCGTGGTTGAATTTTGAAGGGACTTTCATCGATTTTAACCAGTGGAAACCCCCAATCCTTGTATCTTTAAAGTTTTTTTTAGGTTTTATAATAATACTTCCCCCTTTTGAGAGGAATTTTTCTACCTCAAAAGAAAGGGTTTCTGATCTCCTTCGAAAGAGAATTTTTCGACCTCCTTCGAAAGACAAGGTTTATCTCCTCTTTTAGAGGGAGAAATTTCTTAGTTTTGTATACATGATATTAGATCTAATAGATTGTCGTGAAATTATTTCGTTGGTGAAAAGGTTATCAAGTTTTTTAATACAAAAGGTGAATTAGAAGGAAAACATCCTCACGGCTATAAAAGATTGTTAGATTGTCTCTCCAACAAGGTTGTATATCCAACGAAGTAAGCGAGAGATGTTCCACAATGCAAGATCTACTCGATGATTGTAGTTTTTATAAAGGAAAATTTTATTTGATTCAATATCTTATATATTTGTTAACGTCGAATCTATATTATAGGTGTCGTATGACTTTTAATTAATGAAATATTTTTTGTTATAAAAAAAATAAAAAGTATAAAAATATGTATTGTGACTAATTCAATCCCTCGTTTCTATAATAATCGCAATATTTTAATTGACACACATCGACACGCGCTAATGTACAACTTTAGCCATTAATATTTGTAATTATTTTATTTGTGAAAAACATAAAGTTTGGTATTATAATGAAAATATACATAAAAACTAATCTAAAAAATATTTTACATGACAGTATATATTTATTTATATATTGGTAAAACATATAGTCAAGTAATAAATATATGAATATTATATAACTCAAACTGTTACAAATGTGGAGTATTATGAAACACAGTTAGTAACATTTTATCTAATTACTTAAGCTCGATTCTTTAGAGCTGCTTTACTATGCTCTACCCTACTCTACTCTAATGAAATATGCTCAACTATTCTTTGCTCGCTCTACTGAATTCTGCTCTTCTCTGCCCTATTCTACTCTACTTAAAACTAATCATTAATAATAATAATAATAATAATAATAATAATAATAATAATAATAATAATAATAATAGTAATAATAATAATTTAAAAAATTAATAATAATAAAAATAATTAATATTTATAAATAATAACTAATATTTATAACTAATAATAATAATTAATATGTAATAATAATAATAATAATAATAATAATAATAATAATTTATATTTTATAATAATAAGAATTAATATATACTACCTCCGTTCCTTAAAGTTTCACTCACTTACTATTCATGTGGTCAAAATAAAATAACTTTGACCACATATTATGATTTATATAATCAAAATAAATTAACAAGTCTGATCTTATTACATTACCCTTATGATAAAATTTTCATTTATCAAATTTTCAAATATTAATGGTCAAATATGTTCATTGGAGACAGTGCAAATGCAAAGTGAGTCGAGCTTTCAGGAACAAAGAGAATAATATTAATTGATAAAATAACTAATATTTAATGATAATAATTAATATTTTATATTATTCAACACATTTTCTAATCTAATATCATATCATATTATATCACTAATATATAAAGCCGGTCTCCCAACCTGGCCACGAGACAGCAACACTTGACATTCCAGTTTTTCGCCAAGTGTCGAGCCATGTAGGCGACAGATTTGTATTATTGTGTCACATGTGATGCTAAATAAGTGAACTTTGGATAGATTTTTAAAGATAAAAATGTTGTGTAAAGTTTTATTATCGATATTCTTCTAATATTTCATATATGCAAAATTAATCATAACTTTTAATAAATATCCTATAACTTGGTACTATTTCCATTAACATATGATCCATTTATAATATATTTAATTTATTTACAAAAAAAAGAGAGAATCAATGAAAATAAGTTTTAATCAAGAAAATAAATTTTTGTTCTGGCAAAAATACTTTCAAGTTAGTAAAAATAATTTCAATTCATTAAAATATATAATTTCAATAAAGTATGTCTATATACCTGCATTATCAAAAGGGATTATATGATCGTATTTAACATTCTATCAAAGTTCTTCTAGGGTTTAGCTCTCTTGGGAGGTTTTCGTTCTAGGTTTCCTAGTTTTCATCCTTTTCAAAGGTTTCTTCTCGATTTCCTACGAGCTTATTTCCATGGCAAGTTCGAATAGTACTATGATCGTGGCCAACACAGAACAAGAGGAAGAGAATCAAGAAGTTAAATGGATAGACGAAGGAGAGGATGATGAGGCCCCAAAGCTTGAATTAGGGATTGTTGGGAAAGTCTGGGCTGATAGGAACATCAATGCAAATGCTCTAATTGCTTTGATGCAGAAGATTTGGAACCATATGCATGGTTTGGAGGCGAATTACGTGGGCAAGAATTTGTTTTTCTTCCAATTCCATCATTGGAAAGACAAAGCCTTTGTAGTGGACTCTCAACCGTGGCATTTTGATCACCATGTGCTGGCCCTTAGCAATGTGGAAGGTAACACGCGAATCTATGATATGCAGTTACACTATGTTCCGTTTTAGGTTCGCATATATGACTTACCTATTAGGGGTCAAACGAATGAGAATAATGCTAGAATGATTGGTGACAAGGTGGGTATTTTCATCGGGATGCATAATTCAGATGTAGTTGTAATCAATAAGTCAATGAGAATAAGAGTTTTAACTAATGCAAGAAAACCTCTAGTTAAGAAAGTGAGATTAAAAGTGCGAGGGGGATTCATAGAGGAGATTGACATCAAATATGAGAAACTTCTTGTGGTATGATGGGACATGGGGAAAGGGGATGTGGTTTGGATAGAGGTAATGCCACGCCAAAAAGGTTGTTTAGTGTAGGGCTTCGAGCATCACCGTGGAAAGAAACAAAGGAGGTAGTGTTGAGTAGGAAGACAACGACTCAGGTTGTGCTCGTACTCTGTTCGTGACGAAACCTATCCTGAAAAGAAAAAAAATATAGGGGAGGTTGTCTCGGATGTGTCAAAGAAGATAGAAGTCATGCAAGTAGGTTGATCAGGCTCTTTTGACAAGCATGGGGGAGGACAAAGCATCTTTGTCAGAAGCAAGTGGGGAGGTGACTCTACCAATTGAAACAAAGGTGGAAAGTTAGAGAATGCAAGGGGATAATGCGAATGATGCGTGTAAAGAAAGGGTGAGGAGGTACGTGGCGGAGGAAGGCCAGGGTGGAGGGAGTGACACAAGAGGGAAGGGGATGGTTCCAGGGAGGTAAGAGGGAAAGGAAAGTGGAAGAGCATCTTGATGAGGAGGGTAGCTTGAAGAAACTCGTTGTGAAAAAAACCTTTGAACAATGTTTGGCAGAGGTTGGGGCACCCCAACCCCGCCTACGATTATGAGTCTT